TACTGTCCTTACTCATTTTAATAATTAATCCAAGCAGCACTCACTTGGCATACCACAACATTGTTTCTATATCAAGTTCTCAGCTAATGTGGAAGCTCCAATACTTTGGCCACCTGAAGCAAAGAGCTGACACATTGGAAAAGATCCTGATGCTGGGAAAGATTGAAGGTAAAAGGAGAAGGGGATTGCAGAGGATGAGATGGTTAGATAGCATCACCGACTCAATGGATATGAATTTGAGCAAACTCCAGGAGATACTGAAGGACAGGGGAGCCTGGCATGATGTAGTCCATGAGGTCGCAAAGACTCAGACACAACTTAGTGACTGAACAACAACAACGTCCATTTTTCATTGAGACATTTAAAATTATTTCAACACACTTCTATCTCTGAAAATGAGTCTGTATATATCATTATTAGCTGCCTTTATTATATATTTCTGGAGAAGGAAATGGTAACCCACTCCAATATTCTTGCCTGGAGAATCCCATGGACAGAGGAGCCTGGCAGGCCACAGTCCATAGGGTCTCAAGAGTTGGACACGACTTAGCGACTAAACGATGATGGCAATCATCTATTTGGAGCAAATAGTTACACACAGAAATTGAGACTAATTAAGACTAAGCCCTGCTAATGACAAGGAATCAAACGCTGAGTTAATTGTATCACCAATGGGTCATGAAAGTACTTTTCAGTTAAAATTAAAAAAAAAAAAGCAAATGAGAACATAGATACTCTAGGAGCTAATTTTTAATGATTAGGTTGACTTTAAAACTTTTAAAATCTTTTTTTTTTTAATTTAAAAAAAAGTAAGCTTCCAAGTAATTAAGACAGAACACACTTAGACCTCTATTAAAGTAATAGATCAGTGGGCACTGCCAAGCCTGGTGGCACCTTTGTAAACCCTGAAGCTGCCTCTCCAGAAGACCTGGTAAAAGAAAGGAGACTCTAAAAACTTTCTATATATTCATTGCAAGCTGCAGGCAGAAGTAACAATACACAGCTGCAATTTTCAGATTTAGTTTCAAAGAGCTCTAGTCCCCTCCTTGTGCAGCATTTCATAAGAATTTCTGAAATGTTCCTCTACCATGACTCTGAGTCCTTGTGAATTATTAAAACAACAGCTTCTGAAGTCAACTGTCCCTGCATTAAACTTACCACTTTCTGCTAGATGGGATCCAAAGTCACCTTAAGATTTTCATTTCTACCACTGCTTCAGTAAACGAAATGAGTTTAACCATTACAGTTCCATTTCCCAAGTACATTTCAGAATCTCTAGATTCTTGCAATTTAAACCTAATATTTCTTTTCTGAAAAAGTCTGTAATTTCATATAGACTTGAGTTTTTCCTACTTCCTTAACTGTACAGAATTGGGGATAGAATGGTATTTTCACATATCCTTCTAGGTATGCTCAGACATAGATTTGAGTTGGCAATCTTCCCCAGACCTATCGCTGTAGTTTTACCAATCTGATTATTTTGACCAAAACAAAAAACAAAACACTAACTTTAACCTTGCACAACTTGCATTATTTCAGCCAAAAATGAACTCTCCTCCCATCAAGTCTTCAGGGTGGTGTTTTGAGTACATTTCTTACTTTCCCAACTAAGTGGTAAGTATTGGGAAATGGGAAATATTTTGAACATGCACAACTTTTAGTGCCCCTTTGGGGACCACAGAGCTCAAAATCCACCATTGAAAGCTTTATCCATATAATCCTGCATATAAACAAAAGAATTCAAGACACTCCAGTGGTAACACTAAACAGTTTCCTTGTCAATGTGTGTAAACAACTATTGCACAAATTAACTCCTCAGATATCTGTGATGTTCACAAGCAACACATTCATACAAACTTTGTAGAAAAGTTATCCAAATAGGCTACAATGGACCATGAAGTACACTGGCAATTCAATTTTCAGTTCAGTTCAGTTCAGTCACTCAGTCAAGTCCCAACTATTTGTGACCCATGGACAGCAACACGCCAGGTTTCGTGTCCATCACCAACTCCCAGAGCTTGCTCAAACACACGTCCATCGAGTTGGTATTGCCATCCAACCATCTCATCCTCTATTGTCCCCTTCTCCTCCTGCCTTCGATCTTTCCCAGAATCAAGGTCTTTTCCGATGAGTCAGTTCTTCACATCAGGTGGTCAAAGTATTGGAGCTTCAGCATCAGTCCTTCCAAAGAGTATTTGGGGTTGATTTCCTTTAGGAAAGTGAAAGTTGCTCAGTTGTGTCCGACTCTTTGTGACCCCATGGACTATACTGCCCGTGGAATCCTCCGGGCCACAATACTGGAGTGGGTATCCGTTCCCTTCTCCAGAGTATCTTCCCAACCCAGGGGTTGAATCCAGGTCTCCCAGGTCTCCCGCATTCCATGCAGATTCTTTACCAGCTGAGCCACCAGGGAAGCCCAAGATTGACTGGTTTGATCTCCTTGCTGTCCAAGGGACTATCAAGAGTCCTCTTCAGCACCATAGTTTGAAAGCATCAATTCTTCAGTGCTCAGCCTTCTTTATGGTCCAGCTCTCACATCTGTACATGACTACTGGAAAGACCATAGCTTTGACTACAAAAGTCAGCAAGGTGATGTTTCTGCTTTTTAATATGCTGTCAAGGTTTGTCATAGCTTTCCTACCAAGAAGCAAGCATCTTCTAATTTCACCAGCTGCAGTGATTTTGGAGCCTGAGAAGAAAAAATGTCACTGCTTTCACTTTTTCCCCATCTACTTGCCATGAAGTGATGGGACCAAATGCCATAATCTTAGTTTTATGAATGTTAAGCTTTAATCCAGCTTTTTCACTCTCCTTTCACCCTCATCAAGAGGCTCCTTAGCTCCTCTTTGCACTTACTAAAATTATTAATATATCCGATTATATTTCTTCAATAATAATGGATAGAGTCATTGCCTACTTTTTTGAGCCAGGTGCTTTCACTGCAGGATTTCATTTAAGATTTTGAGTCACTCTCTAAGTTTTGCAGTGTTGCCCCCACTTCACAGATGAGGAAAGTGTGGCTGAGTGACTTAAGTTACTCCTCAAGGTCAAGCAGCTATCAAGGGCAGGTTAGAAATCTGCCAGAGTCTGCTTCAGTCTTCAGCCTGCACTCTTTTCACCTAACTCCTTTTCTCTCCTCAAACATCCTTGAGACTTGAACACTCTGGGAACCCTTGAAAGTAACTAACCATTAAAAGTTAATACTAGCTCAAGGATTGATGGTGCATCAGAAGACTGTGGGCTAATAGAGGCCACCACTTGCTTCCTGAAGACCATATACATGTTTTATTCACCAGGACACAATCTATATTGAGGGACAGAGTTTACAAATTTCGAGGCATTTTCAGTTGTACAAGTGGCTTGAACTATCTTCCACTGATATCTGACAGGATAGGGTGGGGAGGAAAAGTTTGAGCCAAAACAATCATTTCCCCCAATCTTCATGGATTCACTCAGATCTGTACATCTGGTCTTCATTCCTAGAGTGATCTGGCCATTGTCTGCAGGCCACCCTACTACTGTGCTTGTGGCATGTCAGCTCAACTCTCTAAGAGGAAAGGACTGCAAAAAAGAAACCAGAAGGGAGGACTCAGCAAGGAAATCTGCTCTGCATTTTGTGGCCATCACTAAAAGCAAGGGGTTACATTCAAATACAGTGGACATTCTCCTTCTCATATCTCTACTACTTGATGGAAAGTTTTAGTCAAAATCTCAACATTAACTTACAGATGGAAGTTGACAGAAGTATAGCACAGATTTTGTTTTTCCTAGAGAAACACATGTACACACACATACAGAGTAAAGTAGACACTGCATATTATTTCTCTCCTGTAATTTTGCAAATTCTTTGCAAAGACGATTCATGTATTTCACAACTGATAAAAATCGTAACCATTATTTAAGCAGTTTTCCTCTCAACTTCCCACTGCTTTCTCACAGAAAACGTGCATCACTCAACTCTGCTGCATTTTATAAGGCAACAAACAGCAAAACCTAGAATAAGAACAGGGGTGCTAAAGAGAAAGTGGTAGAAAAAAAGAAAAATAATTTTAATTGGTATGGTTATTGTTTTCAAAAAGAATAGCTTAAATAGAGGAATAAATAAAAGCATTTCGAAGTCTCAAAAGGCTGATTGGGCTGCTCATAAATTGAATAATTCTGCATATATAAGAAGAATAGATTTTCAGGTGATTTGTCCACTTGCAACTCAAAGTTTCATTTTGAAAAATACAAGCCAAATTCTTTAAAACTAGCAATACTGATAAAAAGTAATGGAAATTATTACTATAGTAACATTTCACAAATATTCCAAAGCAATAGATGACAATAACACTCAACAACAATGTCTCACATGACTGAATGCTTTCTAGAGATCAGTCAAGGGAGTAAGTATTTTAAATGCATAATCTCCTGGAATTGTCAAAGCGACCCAATGATGATGGTATTTTCCTTTTTCTTATCAGTATTTCATGAATGAAGAAACGGAGAATCACAGCAGTTGAATGTTTTCAGCAAATGATAACACTGGGACTCAAATCAGTCCTGTCAAATACTACATTAAAACCAAAATATCTTCATACCATTGAAATCAATTAAATTGGCTTCCAAGATTAACACCTTTTAAGACCATCACCTTCCAGGGATGGGTCAGAAACTTGGCAAAGATAGAAACTTTTAAAAATAGCAAACTTATGAAATCTCAGGAAATTTGGAGAGCAAAGACTATTAAAAATAAATGTTAATTCCCAAGACAGAGGGATACCGAAGGAACTCATTAGAAAATTCTGAACCCCTTAGTAAGTAGAAATTCCACCAAAAGTTTTACCTGATTTTTCTGGAATCTACACTTTTGAACTAAAAATCTTCCTCATTCTTCATTGTCCATATATTTCATATATCACATAAAGCAGATTATGTGGGTATTTGGGGGAAAGCATGTATATAAACCATAACTTTCCAGTCACATTAAGAATATAAAAGTTTATAACTTTGGACCATACCTTGGTTTTCATGAACTTGGAGTGACTTTTGTAAACCTCTATTTGTTTTATCTCTTCTTCACGGTCCTCAGTGTTCAACACACCATTGGCTTTTAACATCTGGATCTCATCCTCAAGATCCCTTATGTTTCGCTCCAATGAAGCGATTTTTGTGTCCTGTTAAAAAAAAAAAAAAAAGAGGGAAAGAAAATTGCTTTTTCAATATTATCAAAACAATTTCAGAAAGCAATTTATTCTATAGTAATACATTAACTATGGTGTAGATACAGCCCTGAATTCAGAACAATTTATTTTTTTCACCTCTGAAGATCACTTGTGAGATTATTTTTTAAGCTCCCAATAAACAGCTTATGTCAATACAAGACAGAGAGTTACCTAGATATGTTTGTTGCATATCTAGGAATCAAATTACTAAAGAGATGCTGATAAAAGTGATCTAAAGTGTTAAAAACAAAAATGACATTTAAGAAGACAAACTTATAACTTCAGAGATAGTTTACCAGTGAATATTTTTGAGTCTACTTGTACACACAAAAACGGTTTGTTCATGTGTGTATTTTGTGGCTAGTTTTATAAGGCATGCTTGGAATGTGACTGTGAAAGAGAAGGAAATTAAAATCTACTAATGGGGGAAAGGATTCTCATCTAAAATACAGACATAAGTGAAATTAAATAACTGAATCATGACCTAGTATGACCGACACACTGAATATTGAAAATTTACAGCAACTGGAAATAATACATCACATCGTGATTCACTTGGCAAGCAGACAGCTTCCTGTGTGACCAAAAAAAAAAAACAATCACTATTCTGAAGGGCATTTCTAACCTATTGATTTACAGAGTTAAAAAAAAAAAAAAACTAGAAATATTACACTCAAATGTGGGGTTGAGGACAAACCATAGACAATTTTTTTTATAGAAGGAAATGACAGATTCTACACACAAGGTGGGGCATAATAAGAAATGATGCATTAGAAAGAGAGGAGAGGAGACAGGAGATGCACCAGAGAGGGAAAAACAGTTCCTCAGGCTCAGGTATTAAACTCAAATCAGTGCTTGGAATGAAGCACACTGGAAGTTTGATGTCAAGTTTTCTCACTGTCACCATCTCCCTGCCATTTTATTGTGCAGATTCAAGGAGGTTATATTACATTTGCAATTGGAAGTTAATGAAAAATGAGCCACTAACTCATTTTTTTTACCAATTCATTTTTTTAGAATCTAAGAGACTAAAGAGTTCTAAAAGTAAAGACAATGAATGGGCTATTCTATTTATAACAACTCAGAAAAAAACTTTAACAATTATGTCTATCCTGATTTTGTAGCTACTTTCTATTTTACTTTCCTATATTATATGCCCAATGGCATGTTTCATTATCATGAACATTGCCATCACTGTTAAAAGTAGAAAAATGAGAACCAGCAGCAGCAGCTTACTGAGCTCCACTGTGTTCCCATACCTGGTTGCTCTAAGTGCTGAAGACACTTATTAAATCTTAAAAAAAACCCAAGAAGATGAAAAAAAATGATTTTGAAATTTGCAACATTATTATGGAATATTACATTCCATTCTGTAGTATTTCATCTTCCTTTTAAAATAGTGTTTATTGTATCCTTTCAGTTATAAAACTAATATACTTGAAATTCACAAAAAATGGAGAAAACTCCCTCTATTTCTATCATCCAGTGATAACTATCATGTTTTTATTTATAGCCTGCAAGCCTCTTTCAATATTAGATGCATACCTGGTCATCGTGTATACTGCCAACTTGAGTGAGGAGAATGTTAGAGACTAAATATCTAGGTGCCTCCAAAATTTATATGTTGAGGCTCTAATCCCTAATGTGATTATATTTGGAGAGGAGGCCTTTGGGAGGTAATCAGGATTAGATGCAGTCATGAGCATGGAACCCTCATGATGGGATTAGCACCCTCATAAGAAGAGATACTAGAGAGCTTGTTTTCTCTCTCTGCCATGTGAGAAGAGGGCAAGAGTGTGACTGAAAGCCAGGATTCTCACAGGAATCCAACCATACTGGCACCCTGATCTCAGACTCCCAGCCTCCAGAACGGCAAGAAAATAAATTTCTCTTTTTTAAGCCACCTAGCCTGTGGTATTTTCTTATAGCAGGCCAAGCTGATAAATGTAGGGAGTCCTTCTTAGTGATTCATTTGAATTCTAAGCTATGCTAACTCTGTAGATAAAATGAGCAGCAATAATGAAAAGGCTATCGAAAAAGAACTTTTGCAAGTTCATAAGAGCCTTTATAAATAAATGAGAGTCACTTTAAGTCAACATTTTTTCTGACTATAAAATTAAAACATGCTCATTACAGAAAACTTGAAAAGTCACACAGATAATTATGATGTCCACCCCAATCTCATCACCCAAATATACCCACTATTAACTATTTACTGCCCATGAAAGTCTTAAGACTATATTATTTCTTTAAAACATAAAGATATCTATTAAAGCATTAATCATTAATCTATTAAAACATTAATGTAGATTTCTGCTCTTTACTGAGATACAAATTTTTCAGCATTTTGCAGATGGTGATTGCAGCCATGAAATTAAAAGACGCTTACTCCTTGGAAGGAAAGTTATGACCAACCTAGATAGCATATTAAAAAGCAGAGATATTACTTTGCCAACAAAGGTCCGTCTAGTCAAGGCTATGGTTTTTCCAGTTGTCATGTATGGATGTGAGAGCTGGACTGGGAAGAAAGCTGAGCGCCAAAAAATAGATGCTTTTGAACTGTGGTGTTGGAGAAGACTCTTGAGAGGCCCTTGGACTGCAAGGAGATCCAACCAGTCCATCCTAAAGGATATCAGTCCTGGGTGTTCATTGGAAGGACTGATGCTGAAGCTGAAACTCCAATACTTTGGTCACCTTATGTGAAGAGTTTACTCATTAGAAAAGATCCTGATGCTGGGAGGGATTGGGGGCAGGAAGAGAAGGGGACGACAGAGGATGAGATGGCTGGATGGCATCACCGACTCGATGGACATGAGTTTGAGTAAACTCCGGGAGTTGGTGATGGACAGGGAGGCCTGGCATGCTGCAGTTCATGGGGTCGCAAAGAGTCGGACACGACTGAATGACTGAACTGAACTACAATTTTTAGAAGAATTTACCTGTAAGTTAAGTGTGAAAGAAATAGTCAACATTCCTGCTTTCTGATATAAAATCTCCTTTGACTTCAGAATCAAGTCTAAACTGACATATTTATATGTATACATATGTGTATACATATTTACATGTATACATATGTATTTATATATAAGTATACACATACATATGTATATAAATATATGTGTGTAAGGAAATATACTTTGTAGTCCCATATTTTACACTTTAATTTCTTGGTAGCATTTGTTAAAATTTCATCTCAATAATGTAGGCAAGGGGAAAAGAAACCCTCAGCTTTCCTCTCAGTCAACTTCTAAGAGTTTAGGTAGCAGTAACCACAACTGCTAACTTCAAATGGGTTAAAAAGAGCTTTTCACTGGACTTTTAAAAATTACACAATGCTAAAGAAATATGAGTGAAGTCACATAGAAACAGAGAAAATCCTCTATAAACATGATCTATGTGATCTATGTAATTTCACCAAATTAGTAAAACACATTTTAAAAATAATATTTTAACTTTTACTAATTTCCTTAAATTAAGCAGCCTCATTTTCCTCCCAAACTTTTTTCTTTTAGTCATAGATGCCCAAGAATATCAAAAGAAAAAAACTGAAAGAAAAAAGGTGAATGAGAAATGGATATTGTGGAAGTCACTTTAATAAAGATCTATTTTTCCGTCCTTATTGATATTTCTGTTCTTACATTAATAAGTCTATTTCAAGAACTCAAAACCAAAATCACAAGCATGGAGAAAAGGAGATGGAAGACTATCAGCAAGATCTAGGGAAGAGAAAAGATACAAAATACAAACATATTAGATGGTGCGTTGATTCTGCCCAGGAAGATATTCAAAATGCTGAGCCAGAGAAAGCCATGAGAAAATATAAGCATGAAAAATTAAGGCAAAGAAAATGACTGCCATGGTCATAGCTGCTCCACTGCTTCAGTTTCAGGAATTCAAAGAGAACAATTTTTTTTTTCTTTTTCAAAAATCTCTGAAACTAAGATAAATGACTAAAAACATGTATTTAAGGAAGACAATGGAAGAAAACTATCTCACATGTCCTGGTATGGCTCAATGTGGTACATAAATGTTGCCTTTCAACAGAGAGGGCTTTCCTGATAGCTCAGTTGGTAAAGAATCCGCCTGCAACGCAAGAGACCCTGGTTCAATTCCTGGGTTGGGAAGATCTGCTGGAGAAGGGATAGGCTACCCACTCCAGTATTCTTGGGCTTTCCTTGTGGCTCAGCAGGTAAAGAATCTGCCTGCAATGTGGGAGACCTGGGTTCAATCCCTGGTTGGGAAGATCACCTGGAGAAGGGAAAGGCAACGCACTCCAGTATTCTGGCCTGGAGAAGTCCTTGGGATTGCAAAGAGTCGGACATAACTGAGCAACTTTCACTTTCAAAACAGATACAAAATGCACATGCACATGCTCAGTAACTCAAGCACTGGTGTACAACAGAGAGAAAAAAACTTAAGTGAAGACGTAGGCTGTGGCATCCTCGAAGTGGATTTTTAGAAGGTAGAGCAATATTTTACTCTCAATCACCAAAGAATCTTCATCAGAATATCTTTACATATTATCTATAACTGATATTTTAAAATAATTTATGTAGTGATTTTCAAATACTCATCTAGATTGTGCTTCACAAAGAAGCAAGCTCTCAAAGCAGATAAGTCTAGGCCTTCCTTAGAGATGGAGAAAGTGAAATAGAAACAGCTTTTCCTGAAGTTCACAGAAACCAAATGCTCTGTGAAAAGAGGCCTGCAGGGTCAAGTAAGTTTGAGAAATGATTATTGGGGATTCCCAATGCATATTAGCATTAATCATTCTGCAAGGTCCTACAGCAAAGCATTCTACTTACTTTGATTTTTCCAGTGTTATTACTCTAGAAGTCAATTCTTGGGGGGGGAAATAGAACTTTAATGAACACATTAAGCTCAGGGTTATATACTGAAGCAAAGAGTCAAAACAATGATTTGGATTCTTCAAAAGAAAACTTGCCATGATT